CCCCAAAACCCCAAAACCCCAAAACCCCGTGAGACTGCTATCTTCAAAAGATTTTGGTAAACTTCTATTTATCAAGGAATGAATTTGTAAGCCTTAATTTACGTTAATATAATATTATTACATTATTATGCTCTCGAGACAGATATTACACAAATCTTTCTTACTTTAGAAATCTTTTGCAGCTTCAGCTGCTTAAAGACTATTCTCAAGTAAAGTATTCCCAAATGCTTATGAAGTAAGTAATTAAAAAATGCTAAAACTAATGTTAGGCCACCAAAGACATAAAAGATGGAGATACATTGTGTGTTGGAGGATTTGGCATTTGTGGAATCCCTGAGAATCTTATTGCTGCATTAGTGAAACATGATAGAAGAGATCTAACTATAGTTTCAAATAATGCTGGTACTGACACATTCGGGCTAGGTTTATTATTGCAGAATCATCAAATTAAGAGAATGATATCATCTTACGTGGGAGAAAACAAAGAATTCGAAAGATAGTACTTGGCTGGAGAGTTAGAATTAGAACTTGTGCCACAAGGAACATTGGCAGAAAAGCTAAGAGCTGGTGGTGCTGGTATCCCAGCATACTTTACCCCAACAGGCAACGGTACTCTTGTAGAGGAAGGAGGCTTTCCAATTAAGAATAATCCCGCAGATCCAAAGAAACCACTTATCGTTAGTGAGAAAAAGGAAAAGAGAGTTTATGATGGCAGAGAATATATCCTCGAGAGATCTATCACAGGAGATTTCGCACTTATTAAGGCTTGGAAAGCAGATGAGAAAGGTAATGTTTTGTTTAGAAAGTCAGCTAGAAACTTTAACCCTGATGCAGCAGTTGCTGGAAGAAAATGTATTGTTGAAGTTGAAGAGATAGTTCCAGTAGGAAGTATCGATCCAGATTAAGTACATTTACCAGATGTCTACGTTCACAGAATTATTAAGGGAGAAAATTACGTTAAGCCCCTTGAATTCAGAACTGTTTCCACGAGTTTTTCCTCAGGCAAACCAGGAAAAGATGACAAGGGTAGAGAAAGGATGGTCAGAAGAGCTGCTCGAGAAATCGAGGATGGAATGTATGTGAACCTTGGAATAGGTATCCCTACATTATGTTCTAACTATCTCGAACCAGGAGTGAATATCACTCTCTAGTCCGAAAACGGTATCTTAGGATTAGGCCCTTTCCCTAAGGAATATATGGTCGACCCAGATCTTATTAATGCTGGTAAGCAATCTGTAACTGTCCTACCTGGTGCATCATTCTTTCCCTCATCATAATCTTTTGCAATGATTAGAGGTAGAAAGATGGATATATCTATCTTAGGTGGTTTACAAGTTTCTGAAAAAGGTGATCTTGCCAACTGGATTATACCAGGAAAGATGGTGAAAGGAATGGGAGGTGCAATGGATCTAGTGAGTGGGGCTAAGAAATTAGTTATCACAATGGAGCATACAGCCAAAGGAAACCATAAGATTTTAAAAGACTGTTCACTACCATTAACAGGTAAAAGAGTTGTAGATGTTTTAATAACTGAGCTTGCAGTATTCTAATTCGATAAAAATGGAACTGGAGATATGCTTTTAACAGAAATCTCAAATGAGACTACTCTTGAGGAAATAAAGAAGAACACTGGAGCTCATTTCAATGTCAGCCCTAACCTTAAAAATTTCTGAGATGCCATTAGTTGAGTATAGGTTGATATTTAATATAGAGAGAGATAGATGTTTATCAAGCATCCAAATTTTATTTAATTTGATAAAGTTTTATTTATATATTTAAGTGATGGTCTTAATGTTTTACAAATTAATTTATAAAAAAGTAATATCTACTATCAAATTTCATATGAAGATCCATTTTTTTTCAAGTATTCATAGAATCACAGTGTCTTGAGAGCTCTTACTTCTTTTTCCCACCGCATCTTCTAATTCATCCTCATTCATCATCATAATTTTTCTTTTATTAGCAAGATTTTGGAATACAACCATCTAAGTCTTTTAATTATTCTTACCAACCACATTGTTATAAGTTTACTGAAGCAAAATAGTCTTATTTTTAGTCATTTTATTATTCTTTATCAAAGGTATAAGATTTTAGTTGTTATAAGACTAAGCAAAAGTGCTATAGTTCTAAGGATTATTGTTTCTATTTTAATATACAAGATTTTATTAGTTTTAAAGAGGGTTAAGACTATTTTAACTAGCTACTTAAGACTTGTTTCTGCTACTATTATTGTATGTATAGACATTTGGGCCATTAACATAAGAGTTATAGCTGTTATCTTCATTCAAGAATGCTGTTGTTTTCTATAAACTGCTACCACCGTTAATAAACTTATGACTAAAGTCATCTTTTAATACAAATTTATTTGATGCTTAGGGCAAGAATATCAAATTGTCACCACCTCTCTAGGATATTACACTATTTGTCTCACTTTATTTATCTGCATATGTAAGATTTGCTTGATTCCCACTTAACTTTTATAGCTATTTTGGAAGGCTTAATTTTGACGATGTGTTTTTGCTCTCAGATTTAGACTAGTTATATCTCTTTGAAATGATACTTGAATTTTTATTTAGTAATATTTCTCTATCGCTGTACCTAGGATTTTTATTTCGAGCAATGAAATTCGATAAACCCCCATTCTTGTCTTGAAGGGTATTATTAGATTTATTAACACTGATTCTGTCACTAATGGATTTTCTTTCAACCGAAATGTTATCTACCTTCTTATATCTTATTGATATCTCTGAAGCTGATTTCTCATTATTTAATAAGTTTGGATCTTCTCGCTTTGAATTGGATAGATTAATATATTTTTTTCTATTACTGCCATCGTTTGATTGGTTATTTAAGTTTTGCGATATTGAGATGTTTGATTTAATCTATGGGACACTTGATTCATTTTCTTTTCGACTACTGTATTCATTATTGACAAATTTTTTGCTAGCAGCTACAATTTTCTCATCCATTTCTTCTTCTTCATTCTCAGCTTCAATTATCTATGTTTGCTTGGTAGAATCTTCATTGAAACTATACTGATCAGGACCTCTATGAGATTATTTCAACCCTCTAATTAGATTTTGAATTGCAGGCATGTTTTAGGTTATATTCTATGTAGAAGTTAAACTGTTATATGCTTCATGAGGATCATTTAGGGACTATTAATCATTTCTTCTGTTTTTTCTTGATGATATTGTGTTGTGATTGGGTTTGTTAGGGGTGTCAAAAGACTATCTAATTATCAAGCTTCCACTATTTGATTTATTCACTCTTATATTATCTACACTATGATGAGAGTTTGCTTTTTTAGGACTTCTAGATCTATTTCTACATAGATATAAATTTAATAGGAAATTACTCTAAAAATGACATTGATGAAATTGCAGTGGAATTTGATGCAGAATAATTAGATCTTAAATGATTGGCTAAATCATCAATCTGCTGAGAAACAAAAGGTTACAGGTACTTTTTCTCTTCTAATTTGATGAGTGTTTTATGAAGTTTTACTATTTTCTTTGCAAATAGCCTTTCATCTTACAAATCTAGATTATAAATTAAACACTAAAAAATTAAATTTACGACCATTGTAGATATTCATGATTTTCTCACAAAGAATTTAGATGAGTTTTTCAGTTAATTAGTCGTAAAATGTTTCAAGTTAGCGAGTTGCAAACCCCGAATACACTGACATTAAATAATAAAGAATTTGTAATTTAATTAATAATGCTAAAAAATTTTACTTAATTTATCCTAACGGGGTTTTGGGGTTTTGGGGTTTTGGGG